CAGTGATGTATATGAAACAGGTTTCACTGGGTTGTATCAGTGATGAAGATAAGACGTGATAGATATGAAACATGATATAGGTGAGATGCAATAGATATGAAACACTTGATGTAGGTGAAATGCATCAAGTGATGGGATCAGTTGTACAGTTACAGGGTCAATAATGAATAGTTAGGAAAGAAAAAGAACCCTCCCTCCAATGCTGTAACATTACCCCCCCTTCCTAGATTTGTCATTCAGAGTTTCCATTGAGCACGATGCTCCTGTAGATATCCAGGTTCCTCAGTGGGACAAGGGAGTTGTCCTGGTTGTATGTCGATGGCAGTGCGGAATTTATGATGAGGGTGTAGGAGTCTGCAATAGGAGCATAACCAATACCAACACTCACTTTGAAGGTGACCGTCAACCTCGCATTTGGTACAGAAATGAAGGTGACGAGGCATGGTGCCAGAAGGAGGAGTGATGATAGAAAACTCATGGTGTTCAAGCCGTTCCTCCAAGTTGGCAGCTCTAAGGCATGTTCAACTCTGGCTCATCTCTTCTTCTGCAGGAAGAAGTTCCACTCCTATAGATTGTCGTACTGCAAGGAGTAAGTTAATTTTTGCATCAATAGCCCGAAAACAATCAACTTCATTAGTTACTCCTGGATCCTTGATGTCTTGCAGCGATGCCCACAGACTTTCCAATAAATTATCATCTCGTGTCAGTAGATATTCCCAAGTATCCTCCTCCCATTCCTTATCTGAAGAGTTCCAATTCCCCACAGGTTCAGTAGTACAGAGTATATTTGCTGTGGTTGTTGAAACCCATTGTAGTCCAAACGCAGGATTGTCATCAATGGGAATGCCCATAGGTGTTACAGCTTGGAGGGGGGGTTTCTTTTCTTTCCTAACTATTTGTTGTTAACCCTGTACTATACTACTGATTCCATCACTTGATGCTTCATCACCATCAAGCGTTTCATATCTATCATCTGTTGCCTATCTCCTGTCTTACTTACATCACGTTTCATCTTCATCGTA